AAGACAGCTTGATAAGCAGAGGACGTCACATATATTAAGTACAGTAAGGTTGTGTGGGCACCAAAAGGTTTGTGCTTGACTCTAACGGAAAGGCTGGTGGATTGAATCCACCCAGCAGAACTGCCAAGGAAAGGCTTCATCTGTTTCTGTAAAGACTGCAGCCAAGGCCGCCGCATGGTCTACGCAGTAACCTATGGGGTCATCCATGGGCATTGGCAACAGGACTGAGCTGATTAAATATGCCTTGGAGAAAGATGGAAGGCAGTTTCTACTGCTCTGAGAACTGAGGCATTGAGCAAACGGAGAAAGGGTGGGGGGATGTTAAAAGGCACATCAGGCAGAAGGGATGATTGTGCAAGCCGTGGAGGGAGAGAGAGTGATATGATGTGTGTTCAAGAAGTAGAGCAGCATGGCTGACACAGGGTGTACAGTGCAGGGAGGGGCATGAGGGCAGGCTGGGCACAAAGACAAGAAGAAATCCGGGGTGGGAGGGAGTCGCATGACGTGCTACGGGCCTAACCTCAATGAACTGTGTGAAGGTTTGCACTGTAATGAGGTCACTCGGATACCAGTAGACAGGGAGAGGAGAAAGGTAAGAAGAGGGTAAACATTTCTGTTTTCATCTAAATAGTCTGACCAGAGTTTGCATTCAAGCCACAGATGGGGTGGGGGTGGGGGGATTCAAAGAGCTGAATAAAAGAGGAAAACAAGCTAAAAAAAAAAGTTAAAAAAAAAAAAGGTAAAGATGACCTTTTGATCCAGGTTGAGAGAGAAGGCTGGGTCAGACTAGAGTGCTCAGATCTTGGGGAAATCAGAACTTCTCTGTGATTCGGTTTCTTCTTCTATCTCAGACGTTCCCAAACGTATTTGGCCTACCACTGCCCCTTTACAGAAACAAATTATCCAGCAAAAAACCTCTACCCCCCAGTAATGAAAAACGTTTGTACTATGGCCCATAATGCAGCCCCCTTGGATCTTCCAGCACCAACCCCACCAACCCTGAAGGAAATGATAACATCCACTTCCGGAAACACTGATCAATATAATAAGACATTCAGAAGGTCTGCGTCTGAGTCATAAATGGGTATAAAAATTTTATACAATGAACCAATTTGAATCCTGTGCTTTTCATTTATAATCCTATATAAATCCTTTGTCATCCTATGCACTTAATTTCAAACACTAAATTTGAAAACAGTACAGTGACAGCGAGTCTGTGGCCCCAAAGGAGCCTGGTACGATCTTTAAGGTCACTTCCAATTTGAAAATTACTGATATCCCTGCTTTGATCAAAGTTTGCTTTACAACCCTCTGACTTTACAAAAGGTCTTCATTGGCACCTTTTCACAAACGGAATGAAAACCCAAGAGGATTTTTCCTTTTAAAGAGGCAGTGTGCACCCCGAGTCTTTCCAAGAGCACTGAACTGTCTGTGAACACTCTAGTTTAGGCTTTGGGTGCTATTTGGTATGATTTGTGGGGCCATTGGGTCTAGAGATGTTCAGATTTTTTTCCTCATATTAAACCAAACCCCACATCTAACCCACTGCCATTGCATGGATTCTGAGTCAATGCCCCCTACAGAGTGATTCCAAGGCTTTGTAAAGCCTTACTGAGCAGACAGGCTCATGGTTTTCCCGTACGATGGTTGGTGGTTTTGAACTGCCAACCATGTGGTTCGCAGCCCAATGCTTACCCACCGGGCTCCCTTTTCTCATATAAATAAACAGTAAGTGCGTCACTGTACCCATTTCAGTTTTCAGAAGGTGTCATGGGCTCGCTCCATTTTGGGGGTCGCGGAGGAAAGCTGCATAGGACTTTGGACATTCCACACAGGAACTGGAAACCGTGTGGCTGGCTCAGGGCGCATCGGATGGAGAAGCAGGACGAGCACGGCACTACAATAAACTCTGCACACATAACCAGGGAGTATAAATCTGACCTACACTGACGGCGTTGTTTCATCTTTCCATTTTCCTTTCTGTCCCTGTCTTCTTGTGTACTTTTAGGTTAATGTTGCTATATAGCTCTAAACCTGCTGGAGTATGATCTGTATGATTAAAGTGTTGAGCAGCAAGAACATGAGGATACTAATATGGGAGGAAGACTATCCTATGGGTACATGGCATGCACATTATATAGTGTTTTTGTTTGTTTGTTTGTTTGTTTGCCAACTGTGCCCTCTTCCCAAAGTATTTTGTAAGCATACTAGGCTAACGAATAATGATGTGGTACCTGCATTATTTCCCTAAAACCGTGCTTTTAAAAAATATATAAAGGGAACAGTAATGTTTGCCATCAAATAAAGGAGGTAAGACAATACATTTTTCTTGATAATGTGTAGACATCAAATCGCCTGGGAAAGAAGCTAATTGTGTGTGTTTAAGTATCTGTGTGTATCGTAAACACACACACACACACACTTAACAGATCTGTCAGAAGCAATTGCTTCTTTAAAAAAGATCCATACATGGAATAAAAATGCATTCTAACCTGCTTACCATTCTAGGTATTGACTCGCAGAGATGCAGCTCTCTTACCTTAAAATGGTACTCTAAGATAATGAATTTATCCTATTTAATCTGAATTTATAAGGTCACTGCTAACATTCAGAATGAAGTTATATGTAGCCACTACATTTAATAAAACACTTTTAAACTAGATTTTTAAAAACATTTTTTTTGCAATCACTGTACAACATGAATTATCAAACTAACATTATTATCGTAAATAAGAATGAGTAGTTATTGCTTGAAGGCATTCCCACTATATAATCTGATCAGATTCAAATATCAAAATGGTTCTGCCTAATCAATTAAAGTCTCACTTTTCAAAATGACATCACACACTGGTTTGAAAAAGCACTGAAAGATTTGTTGTTGGTGGTGATTCATAGTGACCCTCCAGGACAGAGTAGAACTACCCGCAGGGTTCCCAGATGATAAGCTTTCAGGGAGCCCTGGGAGTGGAGTGCGCTACATTAGAGCTGGTAACTGCAAGGTTGGCGGTTGGAACCTACCAGGTCAGGTCCTCTGCAGGAGAAAGGTGAGGCTGTCTCCTCCCATCAAGGTTTCAAAGTTGCCCAAACCTAAAGGAAGGGTTCCACTCTCTCCTATAGAAGGGGCGCTATGAGTTGGAATCAACCCTGATGGCAGGAAGTTTGGTTTCTTTTTGGAATCTTTAGGGGAAGGACCCCTGGTGGCGTCGTTGAGTCAGCATTTGAACCACTAACCTCGCGGTTCAAAGTCATGTGCTGTTCATTGGGAGAAAGATGAGGCTACCTGCTCGCACAGAAATGTACAGTCTCAAAATCAAACCCACTGTCATCGAGTATATTCCCTCATACCAGCCCTATAAGGCGGGGTAGCACTGCCCCTGGGAGTTCTGGACTGTAACTCTTGATAGGAGTAGAAGGTCACATCTTTGTCCTGTAGAGCAACTGGTGGTTTCAAACTGCTGACTTTGCAGTTAGCAGCACAACAGGTAACTAACTACCCTGTGACCAGGAATCCTGATTTACAGTCTAGGAACCCTATACAGAGCCGCTCACAGCAGGAATTGGCTTGATGGCAGTGGATGAGTGGCTAGTGGGTTGATTGGGCTGTTAACCGAAAGATTAACAGTTCATATCCAACAGTTGCTCCGGCAGAAAGATGAGGCTGTCTACTGTACAAATTTACAGCCTCAGAATCCCTAATAGGGTCACTATGAATTAAAATCGACCCGTGGGCAGTGGGGATGATCAAAAAACAAAGTCACAGACATGAAAAAATAATAATTTATAAATTATCAAGGGTTCGCCAGAGAGGGAGGAGGGAAACATGAGCTGATACCAAGGGCTCATGTAGAAAGAAAATGTTTTGAAAATGATGATGGCAACATATGTAAAATGTGCTTGACACAATGGATGCATGTATAGATTGTCATAAGAGTTGTACGAGCTGCTAATAAAATGATTAAAACAAAACAAAGTCACTTTTTAGCAAGAGACTCGCTACAGCCCCCCAAATCTCCCAGTAATTTATTTCAGAAAATCCAAGTGGACACTACGCGTACTAATCAGAAGAATGCATCTTCACTTTTAGCCAAGCAAGGCATGCAACATGCCCGAAGAACTGGAGGGGGCGGGGAGGAGAATCAATTTGCCCCTTTTACAGGACAAATCATAATAAATTCAAGAAAACAAAAATATTGCCAGAAGCAAGATATTTCAAAATCATTCATTAAAAACATGATTTTGTTTGTCGCCATATTTATAAAATAAGCCCTATCTTGAGTCCAGGGAGCACTGGTGGCGTAAGTGACGTGCCGAGCTGCTAGGCGCGAGATCAGCAGTTCAAAACCACCAGCCACTCCAGCGAGAAAGATAAAACTTCTTACTTAGGTAATGAAGTTACTGTCTCGTAAAGCCATATGGGCAGTTCACCCTGCCTATGGGGTCACCGTGAGTCAGAACTGATTCGATGGAGGTTTAGTTTTTCATCTAAGCTCCCTACACGTGGTCCTGAATGGACACCAAATAAAAGGATTTAGTCAAAATATGATTTATGCAACTTAAAGTTCTTAATTTAAATGTCGTATTAGTGTTTGTTTTAAGAATCCTATATACAGAAAAGTGGGTGAATGGAGACGTCGGACAGTGTAAGACATGACAAAATAATAATTTATAAATTATCAAGGGTTCATGAGGAAGTGGGGAGTGGGGAGGGAGGGGGGAAAATGAGGAGCTGATGCCAAGGGCTTAAGTAGAGAGCAAATGTTTTGAGAATGATGAGGGCAATGAATGTACAAATGCGCTTTACACAATTGATGTATGTATGGATTGTGATGAGTTGTATAAGTCCCCAATATAATGATTTTTATAAAAATAATAAAAATATCCAAAGGGGAAAAAAATAAAGTGTTCAAGGCCACCAAAAAAAAAAAAAGAATCCTATATAAAGTTTATTCCAGATTACAGCATAAACAAAATCTTTCAAAAAGGTGTGAAGCACGACTCACCTCCATTGCCTTAGCAGCAGTCCCCTGGTCATAATGTCGCATCAGATTGGGGAAAAAGGTCAGATTGTAGGACATTTTCATACACTTGGGAATCGTGATGGGCTCGCAGGAGAAGGAGCTGTGTCCCTTGACGAGGGCTATGAAAGTTGATGTCAACAAAAACGTAAACAGTTCCATGGTCTTCTGGTTTCTGATTTTACCAAATGGCTCGGATACATCCGTCCTCTCATTCATGCAGAAGACTGCCATCCAACGACACAACACAGTCAGACTCCTGATTTCATTGTCACCACACAGAAGGTAGCAGTCGTCCCGAAAAGGAGTCCGGGGCCAATCACGCTGAAAACAACAAAAACAATCAAGAGGGTGCAGTGGTAACATTCGTCAAAAGCGCAAAAGTGGACGACGAAGAGCAGAGTTCAGATTTTCATCCTAGGTCCCGAACGCTGGGAAAACGATGGAAAATTCCATCCCACCCGGTACTCCCTCCTGCACCTGCTTTGGTCCAGAAGAGACCATGGGGCTCTGTTACGCCGCGTTACGGTGCACGGTGCACAGAGAGGCCATCTGATGAGGGACGGGGGCTGGGAAGAAACGGGATGAATGGAGTCAGACACCCCCAAAGCCCCTCCTGGAAATCACATTAAACACAAGCACAGCGAGGCCCGGGGAAATGCTTAACCCCGAGGAATTCCTAGACTGGCTCAGCACCCACTTTGGGTGGCCGTCTTGTGGGGATACACACTCTTCCTGTTTTC